TCTGCTTATGGGCTTTGTGACCAGCCTTGGAATTATGAGATGCTCCCTTACCATTAGTCTGGTGGTGAAAGTGTTGGTACTCTTTTAAACATATGGTATAAATATGTCTATCACAGTCAGGCAACTATAGCTCTGGGAGGTAAAGTACTTGAACTATAGTCATACCCCCCCACCCCGGTCCATAGAGATACCTTAATTTCTGAGATTGCCATTTGCGATGCCCTACAATCTTGTTTGTCAGTCCCTCCTAATTTCATAATTTTTATGCTCCAGCACAATGCATTTCCTCTAAGCTAGTTCCTGTTCTACACCTCCTAGATTTTGTCTGAATAACACAATGCTCCCAAGAAATGCTAAAATATCAGTGTCACGGATGGAAAGGACCTTATATCTGTCATATGGTGTATGTATATAAATCATTCTGGGTTTCCTGGGGGTTCCATGGAGGGTCTGAGGAACCACTTGAAGTTATTTGGAGACAGAAGGGAGATCCCTGGTTGCGGGGGTATCCTATCCCCATGACAGTCAGAAAAGTCCCTATGTTCTTTATAATTCATTTTGTTGAAACAATGACCTTGTTAACACAAAAGTTTGAAAACCATTGTTGATGTCATTTTAGCTTGATATTAATAGAGGTTAGAGTCAACATAAGCAGTGGCCAGTATGGCACCAAAATTGACCAACAGAATGGATGCTGGTCATGTTCTTTGCCAGATGTCACCTCCTTTCACGTGGGTTTAAGGAAAGATCTCAGCTATCCTTGGAGTCAAGGGGAATCAGAATACCAGGGTAGTAATTATGGATTAAGGTGCTATTCCTTATGATTTACTAGTAGGTAGAAGTTACTGTCCTTGACAATGACCAGAACAGTCCTCAATGTGTCAAAAAAAAATCTTAATAGAATTTCTAGCTTCCCATGACAATATAGAAGTAATCATTGCATAATTGATTATCGAATGCAGTCTACTTTGGTATTTACTTCTTTTCAAGGATTCTAAAATAAGGACACTACAGGAACTCATTTTTTTATACATTGAAGCAATTTATTATTAGATTGTTCCATTACACTAGATTTTTAGATAGTTTTCACAAGTTTTGGAAACATTACAGATGGTTACTAAGAGAAACTGTGAGAAACCAATCCTCAGAGAAAGTTTTTTTTTTATATATAAACCATGTATCTGTTTATCATTTTTGTGTTTGTGAATGAGCATTTCTTTAAAAAAAATTCTGACATGCATGATTAGTTACAATAATGTTCTTTTGCTTTCCCTCTGGAATGATAAAGCATAATCACTGGCTTATGTAACATGGTACCTAGCTTGTAAATTTGTGAAGGAAGCTCCTTGTGTTGACAGTTCTAATGTCTGCCATCTGTTTGCATAGGATGAAGCCCTGATGCTTCTCTAATTGACCATAAATTAGGTATCAGCAGCAGGCTTTTGACAGGATCCTTCAGTTACAGTTTCTTTTTTTAAAAAAATAAAAAGCTGTGAATTCAACATTTGGTGGGAAGCCCAACTTCTCTCCTGAGAGTACAGAAATGTACTACTTAAGTTCAAGATTTGAACTGTCTTCTCTGTATTTATGTTTCAAGCTGGACCTCTCTCAAGGTATCTTCTGTGTATATATCTCTGAAGATAATATTATTCTGATTAGAGAGGAAAACCGCTAAATCCAAGAGGTGCATGTACCTTTCTTGAGAATAGGATACTATGATGTCTTGAGTTCTTACTGCATGTCTTGTGCTGAGCATGCAACTTTTCTTACATTAAATTGCTTGATTTTCAATCAATATTTTCAATATTATAATTTATTTAATATTCTCCTATTTCTAGAAAGAGAAACTGAGACTCAGAACTGAAATAATTTGCCCATATTCTCATAAAATTGTTCAGTCAAGATTCAATTGGTTCTCTTTTCTCTCCATCCTCAGTGTCACTTGTCATCTTTCATGTTTCCTAAATTAAAATTAAAAGTATTTTAACTGATACATAAAAATATAAAATATCATATTAGTGGGGTACCATGATATTTCAATATTGGAATACATTATGTAATGTTTACAACAGGTTAAATGTCCATCTCCTCAAATATTTATCATTTATTTATGGGGAAACCATTCAACATGTTCTTAGCTGTTTTAGAGATATATAGTACATAATTATCTATAGTCAACCTACTGTGCAATAGTACATCAGGATTTCTTTTTCTAACTATGACTTAGTATCTGGGTTTTTGAGGAGCCAGCTATGAGGAGATTGCATCCTCCTCAGGTGATACAACCTTGTTTTTGTATACTGCTTTCCTAGAATCTTGGATATGATTTTTTATTTCACCAATTTTCTGTTTCTTTAAACTAGACATTTAATGTGTGTGTGTGTGTGTGTGTGTGTGTGAGAGAGAGAGAGAGAGAGAGAGAGAGAGAGAGAGAGGAAGAGAGGAAGAGAGAGAGAGAAATATTCTCTTGTTTTCTGAGGGTTTCCATGTTGTTCGGCTTGATAATGCCTTGCATTTTTTTCCACTGTTTTCTCTTTCCTTACCTGACTTTTTTCTTTTTTGACTGGGGATTGCAGCCATGAGTGTTTAACCACTGAGCCATATCCCTACTCCTTTTTATATTTTCCTTTAGACAAGATCTCACTGGGTTGTTTAGGGCTTCACTAAATTGCTGAGGCTGGCTTTGAACTTGTGATCTTCCTGACTCAGCCTCCCAATCTACTGGGATTATAGGCATGTGTCACAGTGCCCAGCCTGACTTTAAGTGAAAGAATTTCCCCTAATTCTAAACTTAATACTTTTTTTCTTTTTCGTTCTTCCAGGGTAGTTCCATATTAACATGTAGGCTATTAACATGTAGGTGACTTTTAAGCTAATAATATGGAGTTAACTCTAACAAGAGTTCCTGGTCCACCTTTCCTAACCCCTGAAGAGTGTCTATCCTCAAGGGTCCAAAGTTGTACCTCAAATTAATTACAGTCTTACTGTATTTAATATGGTTGTGACTCCCAAACAGATTCTCCTTCTATATTCTTTCTACCTTTCACTGCCTCAACGATATCCCTTAATTTCCACTTGCTCTTTACAGATAGTGTGATGCTAAGCCCTCTGGTTTTACCTACTCATTATTATACATTCCTCATATAAATGGTCTCATGATCACCAACTGGATTTAGGCCACTAACCAGATACTCTATCTTCAGCCTCTTCCTTTAATTCTCTCTCACAGCATTTTCAGATTAGCCTACCATATACATTGTTGTAGAGACACTATTTCACCACATAAAATTGTCAGAGCTGCCATTATCCCAACATTCAGAGCTCCTGGTGAGTCCAGACATACTTGTGAACTTATTTGTTACATTTCTCAACTTTCCACAATCTCACTGGCCAGTTAAGTGTCTCAGAGCTTCCTCATGAATCGTGCTAATAGACTTCAGTGTGTTTATACTGTCTTTCCTAATGCTTTAGAATTCAAGTAATAATGCCACTTCTTTCCAAAGTCTTTCTGATTCTCCTCAGAAGTAGCCACTCCTCATTTTGGATACCTTTAAAAGTTTATTCTGAACTCTTCTTACTTCTTCCTTACATGATGATTAGGAAGATCACATGATGGTTAGTTTTTGTATGTACATCATCTCTAGTAGAGGCTAACCCCAAAATGATATCTGTAGTATACTTTTGAAACTTCTCTGAGTATAATAATGCTCCAATAAAGCATGAGTCTAATAGAAGAATACATGAATGGATAAATGTGGAACAAGGGAAACAAAGGAAAACTGCTTCCTAGGTATTCATAGAAATTACTATCATTTGGTATTTGCCTCATTTCTTTGATTCTAAGGAATCAGCACAGAGGGGCCTCAAAAGTAAGATTCGTGAATCCAGTGGGATTGTTCTCCACCCAGTGACCCTTGCACTCAGCATCTAACTCCATCATCTTGGCATATGATATCTGTTCCCTCAGTTTCATCCACATAGATGTTCATTGCCTGTTTTACAATTCTCTTTGGGTCAGCCACTCAGCTTTTCTGTAAACTTACCCACCTACACTGCCATGAGTAAAAGTGCCCAAGTGGGTTTACCTAGTATATATGTCCAAGTGTGTTCTTGAAAAGTCAATAATCTCATTTCTGTGGTTTAGCATTCAGGTAGTGATAACAGCAAGCCTGAATGGGTAGGAGAAACATGGATAGGCATCATGAAACACACTTTTGATGATTCTAAATATATATGTCCATGTCTAACACTGAAGCTTTCTCCAAAAGTGTCTTTCTAAATGCTTCTAGTATTGGAGTCTCTGAATGGGAGAATAGAGCAGATAACAAACACATGCTAAAGGAATAGCCCACTTTTTAATGACAATAAGAATTATTCTTCAAAAAATTTACCTAAATTGAGGTGGGGGTTCATTCTTCCTTTCTGAATTTGAACTAATACACCCTCCACTGCAGACTCTATCATCCTGTCTTATTAGTTTATCCCACAAGGTGGTTTGTTTCTTTAATTAAGAGACCATTTTTTTATTCTTTGTTTCATTCACAAAATTCCCACAATGCTTTGGCATAGACAGGTTTGATATTCAACCATTATACTTGCTGGAGTTGTTACAGTATTAAAATAATTACATTTTTGTGGTCAGCTGCAACTAAAAAAAAAAAATTACCTAAATAGCTGGTATTAGTTGAGTACCTTCTAAAGAAAAGGAATTTTGACAAATACTTTAATCACATGTCATCAGTTATCCTCAAACTGTCTCTCAAATAATGAGCTAACTAAGGTGAGGTTCAGCATGATTAAAAACCTTATTTAAAATCACAAAGCTAAATGACAGAGTTAGGAACTTCCAAGAACAATATGGAATAAGAATAAAATATAGAACTCAATTAAAATTGAAAACATATGATATTAATAGCTTCATAAAATGGTACCTAATTCCCAACACATATGTATGTTGCTGATATGAATGTGCAATATGCTTAGTACAGGAATGTACTTACTCTCTGTCAATCACAAGGCAGGTTACGGCTTCTGCGGCAATGACGTTTGCTGTTCTCACATCTTCCCTGTATAAAAAAATATAGAGAGAGACATTAGGATAAAACAACCTTTAATATCAAGGAAAATTGTCCATTGTGATTCATTCAGGAAACATACCAAATTATACAAACTCTTCTGATTCAGTCACTTTCAACTTTAAGCTTTGTTCATGTTACAGATTTCTTTGTCTTAAAGAACCACTGCATCCTTGTCATTAATCGTGCAAATTCTGTAGTTAAAATCCAGTTATTAAAATTTTTAAATTTCTAGTTTTACTTACACAAGTGGAACAGCATTGTATATCCTCATTCCCTTTGCTCTTTGGGGAATTCATGAATTAATTGGATGATGACAAAGATAATAATGGTCATGAATAGATGAAAGTTTTTAAAGCATCTGAAGATATACTTCTGGAAATTGAGTATCTAATCCACTCATGTATGAATTTGTCATTGTTACCTTGAGAACAATGGATCTGTTTTAATTATTTCACTGCTTTAGAGACCCTGCTTTTATGTATCTAACTATTTGGCAATTTATGACACACAGCTCTTCATCCATTACAGAGCTTATGGTTCTTCAAGAGTATTCGAAAAATCTTAGTCACACCAATTGAAGTATACAAAAACTGTTTCATTTGTCACTGCAGTAATTTATCAACCTCTTTGACCTTTAAAAATCTGCCATATTTCCTGTTTTATCCAGTAGTCAAAGGTGAATGTGATAAATCAATATCTACAATTATTTTCAGCCACTAAAAATGTCATTGCATTATTGTAATGATAATATTAAATTATAATGAAAATGCACTATTTTCCTAAGATAAAAATTCCTATGCAAATATAATTAATGATAAATATGTTTGAAATACATTACAGAAACAAGTACATACAATAAATATAAACAAATAAGTACCAACAATATAGTATTAATAATTTTATTCTAAGAGTCATAAAACATGTCTCTAATAACAGACTTTTAAATGATTCCAGTGAATTTTTTACATTTTTTAAAATTTTACATATACTTCTGAATTCTGTATTTTTCTGTATTTTTACCATATTTCATTGTTGCTATACCAAGATGGTAAGGTTATATTTGCTTTAAAGAAACATAGAAACAATCAGTATTTAATATTTGGTAAAGCCAGTTCCCTATCACTAATATACTTTTAAAAAAAATATCTTGACAGTACTAGCATTTGTCATTTCAAATAGACTTTAATCTTTCTACTTCTCAAGAAACCCATATTGAGTTTCTGGTAGATTCATATTATATTTATACATTATTTTAAGAAGAAAGACTTTCTGGTGACATTATTTTTTCCATAAAAGAAGATGGCGTGACTTTCTACTTTTTCAGATACAGTTTTATATCTTTAAATAAGATTGCACATTTTTTTTCCTTTTAGGTCCTGACATTTAATGAAAAAGTATTATTAGGTGTTTCATATCATGTTTCTCTATAAGTGACATTCTTTTTTGATTTGTTTCTCAATGGTTATGTTATTAAAGAAAAAAAAATCGCTCAATTACAGTACATTTCTTAATCCACCCATGATACTAAACTCTGTCTTGACTTTAAAATTTTTATTATAGCCTCATCAACTCCCAGTATGGTCCTCCTACTGCCTCCCTCACATTCTCTGCCTTGCAGCCAAATTGGCCTCCTTTCAATGGCAACACATCACCTCCCTCCTGCCATGAGTTTTTCATAACTAGGCCTACAAAACTCCTCTCCAGCTGTCTGTCTAGTTCACTCCAGCTTATCCTTTAGATTTCAGGAGAAATGCCTTTTCCTAGGGGATGCCATCCTGAATTAACTAGGTCAGATTCCCTGTTTACTTCTTCTTATCACCCTACCTATCTCTATATGCAAGCAACTATCACCATTTTTAATTTATACATTTACTTATGTGTTCATTTCGTTAGTACCTCTCTCTCTCTCTCCCACTAGACAATGCTAGGGCAGGGACCATGGCTAGTTTTATTTCCTATTTTATCTCAAATACCTGACACAAAGGAGGTACTAAAAGTGTTTGCTTCAAGAATGGTATGAATATCATATTCCTGAGGTCTGAGGCAGTGAAGCAGAGTTGAGGATCTGGAATCACAACCTATGTAAGCCTCAGTGTCCTTGTCTATAAACTAAAGATGATATGAGTGCCCCATTCACTGCATGAAATTAAATGAGATCACCAAAAATAAGTTTGTCATTGTGCTAGGTACACAGAAAGAAGTGTGGCCTACTGTTTAATATTTCTAATTCTTCTCATCTCCAACATTATCTATCATGATAGCCCTTACGGAGGCTCTGTTTGGTGTTTTATAAGAACATTCCTACCCAAGACTAAAGTGGAGATTTTTCTTTTTGCTTCATAGCATTAGACAATGTATTTCCAACCATTATGACTTTCTTAGTTTGAATTTTTGGTAAACACTACAGGCAGAAAACATCAGTAATACCCACCAAGTTTTTCATAAATTGTGTGGATGATTTATTTCTTAGAATGTTATTTATGGTGGCATAAGTTACTAAAAATTGCTGCTAACCTAAACACAAAAACAATAAAAACATTAATATCCTTTTATAGAGATCATATTAAAACTTGCTTTCTATAACTATATTTTCACCTTGACTAGTTAGAAATTGTCCAGAGTTTAAAAAAAAAACATACACAAATATGCCTCATTTAAACATATATTCTGTGCATATAAATTTTTAATGTATCTATCACAAATATCAAATATTTTAAGATTTTATTATATTATCTGGCCTAAATTGAGTATACTTTAAAAATGGAATGTAATTTCCTTGAAACAAAAAAATATCAATATTATAAAACATAGATGAGAAAAAAAATCAAAGATCAGAAGAACACTTTAATCAATAGAAACATAATATAAGTATGGGCTAGAACCACCTTACTACATTAACTAGCTTAATACATTAAAATGACATATATATATATATATATATATATATATATATATATGCTAAAAGCATAACACTGGTTAAAGGCAATAAATTAAATATTTGTAGGGAATTTTATATATGCCACTTACTATGCATCTAGCATATGTCAGTAACTATATTAAGCAGTTCACAAAAATCCCATTTATACCATATAACAAACTGAACATGTGAGGCTAGAGATTAGGTAATATACTGGAAGTCAGGCATAGCTAATATATGCAGCCCTAGGATTTGAATACAGATCTGTGTTCAAAATTAGTTCTTTCCACAACAGTACACTGTTTTTATGTTCCTCTATAGAGTTTAATTTGAAAAAAAATCTAAATTTATTAAAATGCAGAATAAATTTGGGGCAATAGTCATAATGTCTACCATTATAAAAATGGTATTTAATTGTTAATAAAATCAGCACTAATATACTTATGGGTGCCCAACTGCAAAATTAATCTGATGAGCCATTTTGATTTTCAGCTTATCAGAATTCCTATACATGATTATGTCCTAGTCTGCTATGTTGCTTTATAATATTGTTACATAATAATAGAAAATTACTGAATGCCAAGCCCATTCTGCACTGACCTAATGTTGACCCTGCAATATCATTGTATTTCTACTATTAAGGTGCTTAATGTCTTGATGTTTCTTTATGCAGGTGTCTAAAAATTGTATCCCTGTGCACTGTGAGAGCTTTTTTCTGAAAATCTAGTTTTGAGATATATATGTCATGTTAGGAGTAGGGTAGGGAAACTTCTAATGAAAGAATATTATTGATGCAAACTGCCAATTCTGTGATTATTTGGTATGTTTATATCCTTTGTGGTCCAAGGGCCATGGTAAAAGCAAATATCATTTGGATTTAGATAGGAAATATCACACATTTATAAAATGCAGAGGTCCTAAAAATCTGTGATTTCATTGAACATTTCTAAATATACATAACTATTATCATATTGATTTCACACAGAACATTACCTAAGTTAGCACGGGTTTCAGTAATACTAGTTTAGACATGGGAAAAAGAAAAGCAGGATTGTATTATTTTTAAAAGTTGAGATTTCTTTCTTTCTTTCTTCCTTTTTTTCTTTCTTTTTTCCAAGTTTTACTGTTTGGCAAATCAGGGTATTTAGAATTTAGAATTTTTGTCACATTAAACTCTGATAACCGAGCACATAAACATTATACTGTTGTGAAAAGAACATGCCTTTGAGGACAGCCTAGATATGTATTTCATTAGCACACATTAGCTATGCCTGACTTAGAGTATTACCTAACTACTTTAATAGCTTCTAAAAACAGAATATACACAACTTTGAAAAAGATTGACTGTGAAAGAATTTTATATATTAATAAGATAATGCCAGATCTATTTAGTTACAAACTTTCACTGTTCACATGCTGCCTCTGTTTGCTCAGTACACTAGGCTTGTACCTTTATAATACATAAATGTATGTGTATCTGTATAATAGTCCAGGTTTAACATTCACATTTTCTTTAAAAATAAAATCTCATTCATCCTGTTCTGGCCTGTATATAATTGTTTTCAGCATGACAATTAATAAACATGTATTATTGCAAAAGGAGCTACTGTTTGGCAGATTAACAAATAGTTTCAGAAACTTTCTATTGATTAACAAATAATAACAGTCAAAGCTATGCAGTTTAGTAGTGGTCTCTTTTTAAGCATCTTTGGAGGAGTTAGAAATTCCTTTCAATGAAATTATAGAGCATGAAAAAATCCCCAAATATTTGCAAACAGTTTTCTGTGCACTGACTCTGATATTCCTTGGACTTCATCACTGGAATCTTCATCATCGCTGTATCCCAAAGTAGAGTCACTGTCAGTATCTGAATAATCCATAGCAAGGGTTTGCATTGACTCTTCTTGTTCTGAAGCAATTCTCTTGTGTCTCATGACTACTAAAGAACTCTGAGGTACTTGGATATCTCAGGGGAACAAATGTGAGAGTGTATGCATGAGGCCAAAGCAGAACATAGTTCATGCAAAGTGGCTGTCAGAATAGGGGCTCTCCCTTTTCAGCTCTGGAACAG